ATGAGGATGCTCTGGAACCTCTACAGGAACTACGGACATTGCTTGTGCCGAAACATCACCGAGTTCAGGGTCTTCCTCATTAGATTCTCCCCCGCCAGGGGTTGACCTTGACCTATCATCCGAGGGTGGGGAAATCCCTGACGCCATTTCGGATGCACCTTTCACTGACACACCGCGCTTCAAGCTGCGGCCGTTTGGAAACTTATATTACAACCGGTGTTGGAAACCGGCGCAGCTGCTGCGCTTGAGCTGCCTCCGGCACTGCCAAATCAACGAAAAAGTCCGTGGCCGCCCCTTGCGGAATAAGAACAACGACCAACTTCCTTGAGGTACTCTGATTGGTCGAGCACTCTGGCAGGATGGAGCAGGCGTCGATGCTGGTTGAGGTATTCGTGGAGCTCGTCCAGCGTGTCGTAGAGCGCCCGATTGGCGTCTCGTCGCCCGACACCGATGCCCGGGGCGCCTGCGGTGCGACACTCTTTGAGGACCGCGTTGTTGTCGCCCACGATCACACACGCTCCCAGCTGCGCTAAAGCTGCAGCCTTGCCGGATTGCCCAACTCGTTTCCAAGGCAGGACAACGTCTCCAAACGGGCGAGCGCCTAGGCTGTCAATGGCGTTGGAAAAATTGCCGGCAAAACGGAGTGTGTTCTCCTGAGTGTCTCGGGACTGGCAGTAGCTGACGATGCGGAACTCGATGGGGTAGTGGCTGCGATAGATCTTGGAAAGTACCTTGATCAGCCACTCCTTCGGGGTCCCGTCAGCCTCAACAGAAGAGTCAAGGGTGTTGTGCCAATCCAGGCAAACCACGATGGGTTGCCTTGCCTCTTGCTGAGGCGCACCGAACTGTGCCCCGTCGCCGGAGCGGAGCCTTTTGCTGCAGTTGGTGGCTGCTTGACCGGCAATTGTGGTACCGGGAGCTTTGTACCTTGCCTGTGGCGGTGGCGGGCGTGGGGCCCGCTTGACCTGCAGCCCTAGGCACTGGTGCTGGGGGTGCAGGTGGTGCCCTCAACGGCGGAGGGGGAATGGCCTTCGACGCAGCGCGATCCGCAGCTGCCTGGTCGAGTACGCTTTCGGGGGGCGCCTTGACCTGGCTCGCCCACTACCCGCGCAGACTTTGTTGCGGGTGCCGCGGATGTGTCGCGTCCGGCAGGTGCAGGTCGTTTGATGCTTACCTGCTCAGCTTCGTACACCCTGTCCGGGTTGAAGGCCGCAAGACCTTAATACACAGCGTGCGCTGTTCTTTCTGGAGGCGGCGATGAGCTCAAGTCGTAGTGTACGGCTCTCCCCTGACCTCGTTGGGGAGGATTGGACGGAGATCCCGCTCTTGGCGGACGGTGCCAGTAGGAATCCGGCAGCTCGTATGGATCGTCCGAGGGCGGTGGATGCGGTGCCCGACGAGGGCCCCCTTGTACTGTCAACCCTGGCTGCGGGGTAGGCACAGTTGGCCGGCGCAGGGAAGCACGGGCTGCGGAGAGCGTGGGCTCCTTGTCCTTGACCTCGCTGCGCTTCTAGCTGCAGCCCTGAGCGGTGTCCTGGATCTTGGGCGCCGACGCCTTCGGTGCAGAGATAGGCTGATGCCTTTCCGCTGGCGTCCTCCTCCGCGACGAGGATCTCCCTACAGCTTCGCACCTCCCTAGGAGGAGGGCCGACGGGACGGGCTCTCAACTGAGCCGCTGCGCTTGGAGCTGCAGCTGTTGCTGTCTGTGTCACCGCTGCGCTTGGAGCTGCAGCCTTGATGGTGGACACAGTTGTGGTTGAGGATGGACTTGATGGGGCGGTGTTGCTGAGCTGGTGCTTGGTGAAATTGGCGTGCCACGCCAGGAGGGAGCTCCGGTGCAAGTCCGAAGCTTCCTCCCAGGGACTTTTGCCACCCCTACCTTAAACTGCTGCCACCGGGTGAGCGCGTCGAAGGCCTCGTAGTAAAGCCTTCGACGGTGAACCCACCCGCCCCTCTGTCCTTGGGCCGAGAAGGCCGGAGCCGGGTCCATGCACGAAGTGCGTCTGACTTACCGGACTCAGTTACGGCTGATAACCACTCAACAGGGAAAGAAACACAGCGAACCAGAAACCTTGACCTTTATTAACCCCAGTCCGGTAGGCGAGCGCAAACCCTGTTTTGATGATGGACATTGATACTTGAGCCAAATGCACATTGGCATTCGACATGTCTCGGAACGTGCAATCAACGGGGCCTCTAACATCACATGCACGCACACCCTTCTGCGGTACCCCCAAAGTCAAAAATAGGGTAATGCCAGAATGGGTTGCCCTGGTAAATGGAACCAAGGCCTAAAACCTGATGTCCATATCCTGGCGGTTGAATTTTGACCCATGCCCGAATGGGGGTTGATCAATACTCCCTTCGGCCACAAAACGACCATGGGGTAACTTGTCCCGCGTGGTGAAAGCCACTTCTCTTTTTTTTGGCTTCCCTGATGGTCATCCCATTCACGGACCTCGTCCTTGTTCTTTTCTTTCTTCTTCTTTTTTTGGGGGGGAAACCAACCACCGGTCATCCAATGTGGCCGTGGCTCAAATAAACGTACCAAAATGGCACCTTGGCAAATGGAACAAAAACCGACACCTGCGTACCCCTAGGTCTTTCGTTTTGAGCCACATGTGAATCACGGGACCTTTTGATCAACCCACATACAATAGATGACCTTTTGGACAAAAAAATGCTGGGTGTCCCTGGTATATGGAAGCAACCCCACCTAAACCAGTGGAACCCATCTATGTAGTAATCAAACTAACCGATCAAAAGGACACCTATGCCCACATGGCTGTGGGTCAAAGCCAATGGGATCCCATTTGGGGGGTTTTCGGTGAACGCACCACCCATGTTAGAACCTATTTTAGTGGTTGGATTGGGATTCCGGATGTTCACTGGATTTGGGCTAACCGATTTGGATTTCGACCCATGGCCACATACCCAGAGCGCCGGTCGCCCTCCTCCCAGGCTTCGGCGTCCCGGCGGGGCCGAAGGCCAGCTGGGTGGAGAAAGGCATCTCTGCGGGCTCCATGTGCCTCGCCATCAAAGGCTTCTAGGTCCTTCAGTCGAGGTTCGCTGGAATAAGGGTACCCGTTTTTGTTTTTTCTTCTCTTTTTTGCCTAGAATAAGGGTGTACCCGTTCTTTTTTCTTTTTGGTCTAGGTCCTCCAGTGGAGAGGTTAGAATAAGGGTACCAACTTTTTCTGTTTGGTCTATTTTAGTAGGGAACCCTCCCCCAAAAAAGGAATGGCAAAAGGGCACCTAGCTGGGGGACCTAGGCTTGCCCGAAAGGGATGGCTGGGAGCCGCCAAGTTGGGCCTCCCTCTAAAACACGGGTGTCCCCCATGTTCAAACCACGGGTTTGCGCTGTCCGTTTTCTGATCTGCCAACAGTTGTTGTTTAAGCTTGCGGGGAAAATGGGGACGCCCAACGACTAAGCCAGCAATAAAGTGCGCAACACCTTCCAGGGACCGGATTCCACAATCCCTCCGCTCCAAGGGCTGCCTTGAATTGTGGCATCCCCAAACAGAAAATGGGTGCAAGGGGGGGTAGCGTGCCCGGAAACGGGTTCCTTAGGATTGTTTAGGTTTAGGGAATTCTTAGGGAGCCTTAGGGAATCCCCCCCCTGGACCACACTTTCTTGGCCCCACCCGAGTTTCTGACCAGCCGAAACAGAAACAACATCGTGACACCAGCTCAGGGACCCCAAGGTGAGAAAATCAACGTCACCTCCCAAAGGCTCAAAGGAAGCCACTGAAGTGTCTGACTTCGAGAAGCTGAAACCGTTAAACTGAGTGACACCAGTGCCGAGGGACTCCAAATATTCCAGTCGTGCTTGTCACGACTCGCGCCCAAAGGCGCCCCGGCATGTCTTCCGGCGCCGGCGGCGGTGGCAGATGAGGCCTCGGAATCGGCGATGCCCTTGCTCCCTTTGCCGGGGGGGGGGGGAAAACACGGCAACCTTCCAGTGGTTGATTCCCCATTCTTTTCAGCCATCGTTCTTCTCAAAAACCAGATCCATTTCCCCAGGGTTTTTGGTGGTTTTCTAGAAAGAAGGATCCCTGGAAAGAATGGGGAAGTTACCCCTAGAAACCTTCCCACCGCCGGAGGGCTGTTTCTTTTTCAGCTGGCAGCTCAACCGATTTTTTTGCAGGCGTCCATAGTGACATCCTCCAATTCTCTCTGTAAAAAGTGTGAAAACTCAAAATGGGTCTGTCTTGTGTCGAGAAAGTACGCTCCCACCAAGATTTCTCTGAGGATCCGTTGGACGCCTACATCCAACATGGAAGAGACGTTGCAACAGGGACACCAAAGCAGTTGCCCTCGCGACCTGAGGGCCTCATTCATGATAGTGTAACCCTTTAAGCCCGAAAAAGAGGCGCCCGAAGAACAACGACAGACCCATATGACCAACGTCAAGGGAGTTTTTCAAGACGGGATCAAGGGGTCCCTGAAACTGGCTGACATGATGTTCGTGACAGATGTGGCTTTTGACTTAGGGAGGCCCACGTTTCCTGAAGCACGGCTCTGCAAACAGCAAGCTGGTGAAAACGTTCAAGCTGTCTCCATGAACAAATGGGCAGTCCAGCGAAGACAGAATCAACATACCAGCTGCGCGATTCTCCAGCAGTCTTTGATTAGGAGTCACTTGGGCGTCCCGGCTCTTCCAAATCTCCTGCCTGAGCACGATCAGCTAGCCGCTGCAGCATCTGGCCGGAGGAAAGACTGGGGGCGGAGCTGGGCAAAGATTTCCGGAAAAAAGAAGAAGAAAAAAACGGTGGAATCCACTGATAAATACAAAACGAACTGATACCCAACCCAGCCAGTGGGTAACCAGGTCGTTACCTCTAGGTGTTACATGATGGCTTCCCTGGTTACCCACTATATAGTTATAGCCAGAAGCACTGGGGCTGATACCAAAGCCGTCTTCCAACCATGACCCAAAAGAACGCCAACGCTCATCTCCACTCGGCCGCATTCTCTCCCATTTTGCCCGCGCTGGGCTCAAGTTCGCTCTTCGCCGGCGGCTTCTTGTCGAAAAGACTGCCTGATTTGGAGCAAAGTTTGAGCCATACAAGCCTTTCATATGACTGTGGGTCAAAATCAATGGTACCATTTTTGGGTAGGCGCGCCACCCATTTTAGTCCATTTTAGTGGGGATTGGGATGTTCACTTGAGATACGGGATTGTGTATGCAAGCTAACCAAACGGCACCACACAAGCACGCGATAACTCTTTTATCCGAGCAATGTGTTGGTGCCAGGGACTCATCTTCCCCTGTCAGATGTCAAAGGCTGGGTGGGCCCCATGGGCCACCCAACTCACAATCTCAAAAACTGAAGAACGGGTGTGCAGACTGATAGCGCCCGCCCCTGAGCCGGGGCCCGGGGCACCCAGGCCACAGGGGGGTCTGCCACCAGGGGAAGTGAGTCACCCACCGGCTCCGGTCACGGGAGCATGGGTGGGCCCACGCTAAGATCAAATGCATCTCCATTCAGGAGACGCGGGAGAAAAACGAACTCCTCGCAGAGTTCCTGTTTGGGGACCCTGTGCAAAGGGTCGAACCCAGAGAAATCTGGGTGCGTCAGTTCATCAGCCCATTGGTTGAATTCCCGGGGCACGTGGTTGGCCGCCAGCGAGCAGCCATGGGTGTGGAGCAGGAAGACCAGCTCCATCAGGATCGCCGCCGTGTAGGGCTTCTTGGATCCAAGGTTGAGCATCGCCATGACGTTGCCCTGATTGTCGCTGCCCACCGGGAGTCGGACCCGGGAGGACAGAGGGCCTTGGTGCGTGAGGATCATGTTACAGAGGAAGAGCGTGCCCAGCATTTCCAAAGCCGCAATCCTCCGCTTGGGATCCCCATTCTTGAATGCCCAAGGGTACTCCTCCACGTGGATCTGCTCGTGGAACCAGTACACCTCCTTCTTTTCCGGCTCCACTTTGTTGGAGCACCAACCTCCCACAAATGCCAGTCCTTCGTCCGAGGCGCTAGCATCGCTGCAACCCCACCAAGAGGACTTCGGCAAGTAAGGGGAGTACTGGACGAAGGGCGTGTTGAAGAGGAACCGCAGCATGAACGCCAGCATCCTGACCACCTTGGGGGGTTTTCCCACCGTGGTGGTGGCCATCTTCCAGGCCCAAAGTGGCTGGAGCATCGACTTCGCCAGCGGACATGCAGCAGTCGCCCATTGGATGCGGCCCAGGGCTTTCTCGATGTCCTTTGAGTGCATCGCCTGCCCTTCCACTGGTCTGCAAAACCTCCATCACCAGGATGTGTTTGTTGGCGGCCATGAGAACCTGCGGGATGTTCGGGTGGACCACGAAGCCCAGCCACGTGTTAACCTCCGCCAAATGTGTCTTCTTCCAGCTAAGCGGGGTGCCCAAGGCCAGGAGTGTTGCCAGCAGCGCCACCGCCAAGTTTACTGCCCCCTCGCTTCGAAGCAGCCACAGGAAGTCATCCACAAAGACGAAGTTCCAATCCACTTGGGGGAAAAGTGCGTAGAGGACCCTGAGTAGAAGGGCTGCCAGGCGTCCCCAGTAGGATTGGGCACTGGCCATGCCATATGTGCCTACCTTGTTCACCCACCATTCTTCCCCCAGTGAGGCCACCTGCAACCGCCAGTCCTTCCTGAGGACCTTCACTCTCCGGTGGGCCTTGGTGACGTCCGCCTTGAGCAGCACCCACCTCGTACCCGGCTCTCCGGCCATAGCCAGCCCCCAGGTGGAGGTTTGACGACCTCCCTCTCGGGGCCAGGGGCACCCTGAGAGGGGGGTCCCTCCGCAGCTGCCGCATGTAGCCAATGAAGAGCTTGTACCCCATCCAGCACCGTCGGAGCCGTCGTCCTTTCCACCGTCTGGTTCCTGATGGTGTCATTGGCCCCGCCCACCGAGCCATCGTAGATGGTGCGGATCTTGTCCCCCTCGTCACTGGTGGCCTGTGATCCCAACGGAGACCAGGAAGCCACGGGGCCTATGGCACCCTGAGTGGCCTCCTGTCACTTGGGAAGGTGTGGGCATGCCTGTGGCACATGCTTCGATGGGGGGGCACCCATCCTTCCTGACCGGGCAGTTGTGGGATCGGCCGCATGATCCCGAACACTTGTTGTGGAGGTGATGATCTCTGCAGTACGCCACCCCTTTGGGATTCTTGAAAGCCCAGTGGTCCGGCCATGGAACCGAGGGGGTGTTGGGGGACTTCCCCTTGCCGCCCTTGCCCTTCGGCTTGGACCGGGTCGGCCCCGAGGGCCAGGAACCTTTCCCCCCCTTCTTGGGCTTCTCCCACTGAGTCTGCCACACCTTGGGTGCCTTGCTCTTGCTCTTCCCCTTCTCCGGCGCCCTGTTGAGGTGCTCATAGACCTCCCGTTGCCAGAAGAGGAAGTCGCCCCTGATGTTCTTGAGGGCTTCGGAGAGAGTGGTACCCTGGTGCACCATCTCGTGGATCTTGCGCCATGGTGGTGTCGCTCGGAGGAGGCTTCCTGCCGGCGATGTCTTCCCCATAGAACCAGGCATACCAATCGTCCAACTCCTCCTTGGTGACCCTCAGGTTGCCAAACTGTGGCAGTGCTGCCGCGCACATCAGGAGCGTCGTCCTGAAGGTTAGGTGCAATCGTTCCAGCTGGCGCCGAGATGTAGGGTGGCTCCTCACCTCTTCTTCATCCTCCCTGTCCCAGCCATCCACCGTGATCTTCTTGTGGGTGGATGAGGGGCGTTCCCCCTCTTCCGGGAGCGCGCTCACGATATGTTTTGCCGGGATGTAGCTCACCCTTGGCAATCATGCGCCATTGCTTCTTGAGGTAGCCATCACTCCCTTGGAACTCCAACCTCGGCTTCGGGGTCCCATGCGTGGCCACATAAGCATCTTCCAGCTGGCGCCTGTCACACAGGACCTCCAAGGGCGCCTTTGTCGGGCCCGCCTGGCCCGCCGGGTGATCACCTTGGTTGCCCCCCCGGACCAAGCTGGCTGCCACCCGAACTGCCTGAAGGAGGCGCATCGCCGTGAAGGCCAAGGTCTGGGCGTTGAACCCGTTCTCCCCATCCCGGAATCCCAGGTCCCGGGGACCATTCTCCCTAGCCGCCGCCGGGGTGTCCCAGCGATCCGCCAGGTCTTCCACCGTGACGTATCCCGATGCGCCCAGAGCCGCCTGGGTGGCCCAGGGGATTTCCTTGCCCACCAGGATGGCCGCCAGTGGCTTGTGCAACTTTGCCACGTCCTCCTTGAACTCCGCTGGGACCTCCTCCGGTGGTTTGGCCGCCATGACCTCCGACCTTGGTGTGGGTGGGTGGGTTTTTCACACAAATTGGGTTCAAAGAACCCAGGGCAAAGCTTGAGCCAAAATGGCATGCGCCATTATGGTCAAGCATTTCAAACACAGTTCATGTTTCCACATGCGTTTCAACATTAACAAAGTGTATGCAAGCTAACCAAACGGCACCACACAAGCACGCGATAACTCTTTTATCCGAGCAATGTGTTGGTGCCAGGGACTCATCTTCCCCTGTCAGATGTCAAAGGCTGGGTGGGCCCCATGGGCCACCCAACTCACAATCTCAAAAACTGAAGAACGGGTGTGCAGACTGATAGCGCCATTTCCGAAGGACAGTCTGGCACACCCGCCATTTCCGAAGGATGCCAGTCTGTGCTGAGGGCCCTGGCCAGGGCCCTGTTCCGGGCCTCCCCTCCCCTTGGTCGCCAGGGCCGGGGGCACCTAGGCTGCCAACGGTAGGGCCACCACCTCGGTCTCCGACTGGGTGTCTACCAAGTCATCCGTTTCAGAGCCCGAGTCCGCCGAGGAGTCCGAGTCCTCCTGCAGTGTGGGGACCTCCGCAGGTTCCAGTGCCCAGTCCGCCGGGAAGCCATACCTCTTGAAGCAACGTTCGCACTTGCCATAGGCCTCCTGCTCCGTCATGTAATCCAGCACCGCGAGCTCCTGGATCTTAGAGGCCGCCTCGCCAACCACACCCCACAGCCGTGCCTTCGACATTCAGCAGGTGGATTCTGGACTGGCCGGCGTTGCCTGTGCGTTTGACCGCCGCCACCGCCCGAAGGGGGAGGTCCGGGGTGGCGGGAAACAGGTCCTTGGCCTTCACTGGTGTGTCCTCGGGTCCGTGTTCCACCACTGACCATGAGCGAGTCGACGGCGCGCTCCCTGAGGGTACCGCGGGGGATGCCTCCCCTTCCCTTTCTGTTTGGTCCTTGCGGCCCTCCGGTCCTGCGTCTTGGGGACCTTCTGAGCTACCTGGCCCCAAATCTCCACAACCACGTTGCGCTTCTCCATCTGCTGTGCTCTCCGTGAGCCAGTTGCCCAGGTACATGCGGCGCTCCCGGGGGATCCCCATCTGGAAGGCGCAGTCTGGGATGAACACTCGGAATGAGTGCCACGTCAGCGGCTTCACCAACCCCGGGGTAACTCCCCGGCGAAGAATAGCATCCTTGAGCCATCTCAAAGCCCTTTCCGGCGTGGAGGGTCTTTGGGATCAGCCCCGCAAAGTCTTTGCTCACCGTCGGGAGCAAGTAGTCCATGTCCTGGAATGCCTCCTCTGACACCAGTCGCCTGACCGAGGCCACCCAGGTAGTCCACCAGGGGATCCCCGTGAAGCTGTACTTCGGAGCAAGGGGACCGGGTTGCGGTTGATTCGCGCTGCTGAGACCGTCTTGGTCTGCCAGGCCTTCAGCTCCACAGTGTTGCTGGTGTGGATAAGGTCCTTGGGGTGAACATGCTGGAGGTCATTGAAACGAGCGCTGCACCCAACCTGGAACCGGGCGAAAGCGTCCAGCACCTCGTGTCTGCTCCTCCCCGGGGCCGCCTGCGTACCGGGGCCGGTGGCACCCTGGTGATCGTAGCCGGCCCCCTCCTCCAGGGCCCATATGACCTCTTTGCTGGGGGACCACCGCCTTGCGTTGTGGCCTGGTGACCGTGTCTGTGAGCGCCTCTTCCAAAGAGCTCTTCTTGGACTTGAGGCGATGGAGCTCGTCTATCTTCAGCAGCCCGAAGGTCTTGGAAAACCACTTGAGGGTGTTCCATACCTGCCGTAGCTTGCACGGGGTGACCTCCTCCTCGGCGAGCTGGTTAAGTAGAGAGCGGACATGTCGTTCCTGCCATGGAATCACTGTGAAGCCCCTCTTCCGGAGACTCTCGTAGACCAGGCAATGTTGCCTGAGTGTTCGGAACCTACTGTCCCCCAAGAGGTCCAATGCCTCCTTGCGGAAGTCCTCCCCCAGGATGTCCTGCATGTATGCGATGTGCTCCGCAAAAGGGGCGAAGTGGGCAAGGAGCCGTTCCGCCCATTTCCCGCGCATATGGAGTTCCAGCGCTCGCTGGGTCGTGGGCTCCATTTTTGTGATTTTCCCGGGCTGCCAGTGCCTCCACTTCAGAAGCTCCGGCTGCTGGAGTGGGGGTGGGTCATCTCGTGAGAACCACCTGAGTTGGTCCTGGCGGTCCCATTCATTCTCCAGCGGGGAAAAGTTCTCGCTCGGCTTGCCATCCGCAGCCGCCATGAGGAGGAACCATAGGCTGTCCCAAAGGTCGGCCAGGTCCGCCGCGGACAGAGGCTGGGGAAGCCTGCCCGCCGCCGACGCCACCAGGCCGTTGAAGTAGTCCGTCGGTACCACTTGATCGTCTTGCCCTACAGGAATGCCCGAGAGTTCCAGGAGCTGGGCGAAGCGGACGGCCGGCTCCCCGCCCAGCTGCCTCCCCTCCTCCGCCGTGCCATGGCGCAGGCACATCAGGACCAACACCTCCCCGTCCGTCTGTCTCGGGGAGAAGGACTCATCCGCCAATGTGTCCCACAGGACCCTTGGAATGCGGTCCCAAAGACGAGTGTAAGGCGGGCGCAAAAGAAACTTGGTAGAAACCCTAGCCATGATGAAAACGGGGGGGTTCGAGCCTCCTATCGAACGGCCGGGATCCAACCGCGGCAAACTGCATGCATGTTCCAACCGCGCAGGATGCCGAGTGCAAAAGGGGCAGGCAGGCCACACGCAGCCCCAACAGGACCACAAGTCCACCCCCCGGAAATCCCCGAAAAAGACACGGAGGGGGGAAGACCAACCCGACGGGGGATTCCCCAAAACCCCCAAGAAAACCTCAGGGAACCAAGAGTCCGCCGCAGTCACTTTCTCCAATCTGTGGCAGATATGGCCCGTCCTTGGGGCCAATGCATGCAGCCTCCAAATCGAGGCAAACCGGCTGTCGAGACGTGTTGAACAGGGGGGAAAACCAAGGTGAAAGATGAACCCAAAAGGAGACACCCTTACTCCTCCCCCCATCCGAGACGGGGCCAAAGGCACCCAAGTCCCGGCGGGAAGAGATCACACGATTCCACATCCAAAAGAGTTGTGAGACACGACCTAGCGGCTCTCACCCTTCAAGATCGCCTCCTTTGCCACCGAGTGGATGGCCGCCAGCCCTGACTTCTCCGGGTTGCTCAAAATGACCGACCACAAGGCAGTGGAGACATCCCCCAGGCCATTCGAGGAGCTGAAGCGCATGCGCGGGGTGCTCGCGTCGCCCAGGACCAGCCTCTCGTCCCTGGGAGGCTCCGTCGGCTCCACCCTCTTGTAGAACTCCATCCTGTCCCGGATCCACTGATTATATAGCTGCTCCGGGGGCTCGTCCATCACCAGCTGCAAGCATGTGGTTTTGTCTTTGTGCCACCCCGTGATCTGGAGCAGCCTGGTTTCCCCGCGGCTCGCCAGAAGCCCTTGCAAAACCTGCACATGTAGCCTCCGGTGGTCTTGAACTTCTCCTTGCCCACCACTTCCCAGGCGCTGATGCTGGGCAAGACCAGGCCGCACTCCACGGAGGCCCAAAACACGTGCTTCGTCTTTTTCTGGGGCTTGTTGATGTACTTCCGGCCCGCGACCGCCGTGACCGTGGACGTGGTGATGGGCGGGTACCGCCTGGTGCCCTGGTCCGGTGTGCGGAGCGTGGTGTCTGCCCCCCCCAGAACCTTGGCCTTGGGGTCCGCCTCCTTGGCCGCTCCTCCCCCGGGGCCAGAGGCACCCAAAGGGGGGGAGCAACCCACCCAACCTGTCGTACAAGGCCCCCGCCGCCTCCTGCGGGACCTGCTCGACCCAGTCGTGGACCACGTTGCAACGCCAGTTGACCTTCACCTCCACCATGGAGGACTTGCTCAGGCCCGACACCAACTTGGTGTAGACCGAGTCGAAAGCCCTCAGCGATGACAGCGGGAGGGTGATCCGCTCGTCGCAGACCGCCCGGAAACGCAGCGCCTCCTTGCTGTCGTGGACGGGGGCCACTGGGATCTCACCGGCAACGGGCAGTTGACGATGAAATTCTTGGCCGCCAGAAACGTCCCCATCTCCTTGAAGATGTAGCTCCATTCCGCCTTGCTGCGCGGCTTGGGGATGCCCAGGCTCTCAAGGAAGGGCACCGCCTCCTTCCTCATCTGGAGGATGTTGCCCATCCACTTGTCCGAGGTCGAGCCCTCCGCGTTGCGGCCCCGGCGCTGCGTCTTCACGATCAGCGGGAAAGTGGTCCAGGCCGAGTAGATGTACTTAGTGAACCTGTGGGCGTACACCCCCGTCAGGCTCGGCAGGTCCCACGTTCTCGTCTGCCTGGTCCAAAACACCCCATCCCCTTTTGCCCAGAAGATCCCCACCACCTGCTCCGGCGCCGGGCGCTCGCCCCGGTTCACCTGCGCTCGGATCTCCAAGGCCGTGTAGATGACTGGGTCGATGGTCCTGCTCGCACGTGAGTGGGTGAGTCCTGCGCTCCAGGGCCAGGAGCTTGAACTGCTGGTCAGCGCCCTTGGGGATCTCACCGCTCGAGTGCTTCTTCCAGATCCCCCCAAACATCCGTAGCTCTCCCTGGTGCCTCTTCATCGCCCAGAGGAGCAGGGACAGCTTGCCCTCCTCCGAGTCCAGGTCCTGCTGTGACATTGGCTGGTCCCTTCCAAGGCCAGTGGCACCCTTGCGGGGGGCCGGTGTCGCGGGCATCTCCTCCAGCAGCGCCTCCTGGTGCCATGGGTTCTGCGACTCTCTGAGCCTCCTGATGTAGGGGACATACTTTTCCTTGATGTCTTGCATGGGGATGTCCTCGGGGTCATCCAGCTCCAGGGGGCAGAACAGCCCCCTCTCCAGTGCCTGCTCCGGGGTCAGTTCCCGATGCTCCCTCAAGGCCTTATGCAGCTCCTCCTTCTTCCGGATCGCCTGGTCCACCTGGGGGTGGTAGAGCTGGAAGCTCTGCGCCTCCGCCTCCTTCAGGGACCGCTGCACTTTGACCTTGATCTCCTGGCATTCCCGGACCTTCAACGCCTCGTCGTCCGCCTCCATGGACAGGATCTCCTGCCGGATGTCCACCCGCCTGTTGAGCGGGACCACGTCTGCCATGGTGATCTCCTCTGCCGTGTCCGTTTTCGGAGGAGCTCTCCCCAGGACCGTGCCGTCCACCAGGTTGCGGTCTGCCTGTGCCCGGGTACCACGGGCCAGCGGCACCCAGGCTTCCCCCTTTCCGCTGCTGGATCCAGGTCGCAATGAGCAGGTTGTAGGTGATGCCGTCCGCCTCATAGGTAGCCGAGGGTGCTTGGAAGGGGACGAACTCCTTGCCTGGCAGACCCAGCACTGCTTGGCTGCCTCTGGCCACCCCGCGCCGCATGCCTTGCACATGAACTTGTAATCTGAGTGGCCTGCATCGAGTCTGTGCATCCGCTGGGTGCCAATGCACGCCTTGTTCCTCTGGAACTGTGAGGCCCAGACCTCCTCCTGCCGGATCTGGATCTTCATCGGAACATAGGCCTCCAGGATGCGAATCACCAAGTCCTCCGTGAGATTCTTCCCGACAAACTTGTGGAACAGGGAGACCGCCTCCTCCACCGTGACGTCCCTCAGCAACGTGGCCGCCGATGCCGGAAGGACCGGGGAGGTCCACTAACTTGAAGTAGCCGGGACGGCCCTCCACCGGCACCAGGGAGACCGGTTTGTTCACATGAGCCGTGGTCTTCTGGGAAGCCGCCACGAAACCCTTCAGCCGCTTCGTGGGTGGTGTCTGTGCCTTTTCCAGTGGAGTAGCCCGCTCCGTGACGTCCGCATCTTCCATGTCCTTGTCCTCCTCCTCGGCGGGGCCAGGGGCACCCAAGCCGGAAGTCGGTGTGGCAAACGCCACACGGAGACGCTCCAGTGCACTGGAGAGGTCATTCATCACGTCGGTAGCCGAAGCCGACGGGGGGGCCTCGGGCTCGTCCAACACCAGGCCGGCCGCCACTGCCGCCTCGCGTGTGCGAATTTCCTGGGCCTCATGGCTGGCCATTTCCACCTCCTCCGCGGTGAGCGTCTGGTCCTCAATCAGCTCGAAGGAGGTTGCCGAGGTTGCCGAGGAAGCCATTGCTTGATCGGGGTTAGTTCGAGGGTGTTCAAACTCAAATCTTTTTCACACAAATTGGGTTCAAAGAACCCAGAGCAAAGCTTGAGCCAAAATGGCATGCGCCATTATGGTCAAGCATTTCAAACACAGTTTATGTTTCCACATGCGTTTCAACATTAACAAATTGACCCATGGCCATATGAACCCGGTATGACTACCTCTGGGCTTTAAATCATGGTTTCCCCGGGTTACCGACTTTAGTGGCGAAACGCCTGGAAGCACTGGGTCTGGTTGACCGACATGCTGAGAAAGGGTCGCAGTGTTCACCAGCACTGAACCCTCAGGCCAGACAGTGCGCTCAACCCACAATATGAGGGCTACCATCGATTCCCGAAAAGATGCATCCCAACGTGGACCGCATCCAACCACAAAACCCTCGGCAAACTGCGTTCGCGGTCTCCACCGTACCTCAAATACCACGTGCTGATTCAGAGCAAGGGGGGACAAGAGGCCATGAACTTCCCGCATCCTTTTCGGAAAAGGTAAAAACCACTCCCAAAACCAACAATTCACCACAACCCACCCCCCCCCCCCCCCCCCCGGCAGCAAAAACAAACATGAAGATGAGGGGGGGGATGGAGGGGGGGATGAGGAGGGGGGGGGCGGGGGTTCCTCTTCTCACCAGGCTGCTCTCAGACCAAGGTGGCTTTGAAGCCTCTCTCCAGCTCGGCCCGATCCAGGTTACGGCCAATGAAAACCAGCCTTACGTCGTGCGTGGCGGATCTTAGCGTGGAGATCCCTTGCTTCATGGGGGCTGGGGGGGAGCGAGGGGCTCATTTAGAGCTTATTTGGGCTCCCTCCCCCTCCCCTCCCTCCCCCCCAGCCCCCATGATTGCTGGTTTTGAAGGGAAACCAAGAGGAGAACCACCATTTTGGGGCTCCCGGCCCGGAAAGAAAGATGCACCCACGTGTCATAAATATCCAAGCGCGAAAATCAAAAGGTGAAAAGTCTACGGCGTCAGCGGGCATGAACCATGACAATGCGTGCGTGACATCTTCAAAACTGCTAGTGTGAATTATGGTGGTTTATTTATATATATTAGGATCCCATTTCGTGGTTGTTCAAACTCTCTACCAACTAATGGACTTATCAGCGGTACCCTGCTCGGCATCTTTGGAGTCGCTTTAAACACCGGATTCGCCAGTGGGCTGCTGGGTTAAGCTTTGGTTTGGGTGGGTTCAAGGTTGGCTTAGGGTTGGTTCAGGGTGGGTTTAGGCTGGGTTTTACGTGTCTGTTGGTTTGACTTTGCGTATGTGGGTGTAGGCTTGGGCGGCTTGGCTGCATTTTAGCTCAGGGTGGCTTGAGCATGGTCTGGAAAAGGCTCGCGGCCAGCCAGCCGAAGGGAGAGTTGATCTGCCCAGATCGCGCAAGTAGGTCCAAAATAATGTGGGGTTGTTGGTTGGGATTGTCCCAGCCTTCATCGTGCCTCAGGTTCTGAAAGGGGCAAGTCAACTGCAGGGAAATTGACTCCCACCCCACCCCACCTACTTCCATGAGCGCAATGGGGCCTCCAGGCAAGAATCAGAAGCCTTCTTATTATGCGTTCTGATTGAAGAGTTCGGATCGAACCTTCCTTGGGCCTGTCCCTTTGAAGCTAGGCAGTTGTGCGACATCTAGCCATCTATATCATCTATGAAAACCAACTGACACGATCCACCAACCCGCCCAAACCCACAAGCACCTACCAAGCACCCACCAAAACCCACCACCAAAACCCATCAAAACCAACCAACCAACCAACCAACCAACCAATCAACCAACCAAAACCAAGCCAACCCAAGCCAACCAACCAACCAACCAACCAAAACCAAGCCAACCCAAGCCAACCCAAGCCAACCCAAGCGAACCCAAGCCAACCAACCAACCAACCAACCAACCAACCAACCAACCAACCAACCAACCAACCAACCAACCAACCAACCAACCAACCAACCAACCAAAACCAACCCAAACCAACCAAAACCAACCCAAGCCAACCCAACCCAACCCAACCCAAACCAAACCCAACCACATTTGCCTCTGGCAAGCGGCTCAACGCTTCAGTAGAAAGAGCCATGTCACATCCAACAAAACGCCCCCGGTTTCTAGGAAGTGGGGAGTCAAAAGGATCACAAGGGCCAGATTTGCATATGTTTCAAGTTCATCAGCCCTGAATTTTGACATGTCCTGCGCCATGCAAATCGCTTCAGTTGGTCTTTAAGGACACGTCCTTCTTCACCCGGATGAGCCGCACGCAATATTCAGTGAGCCCCGTTGTCTCATGGTACTTTGGTGAGCGTCCCCATGCCATCCCCTGAATGACATTTTTTACATGGGACATGGTTGTTTTCAGGGCACCCTGCTTCCGATGTTTCCTTCTTTTTTAGGGAAACCTAAAGGAAGCAACCCTTTTTGGAGGTTCCCCTATGTTAAGACATACATGTATATTGACCGCTGCCCGGACCATCCGCCCATTCTTGTAACCGAGGCGCCGATTCTTGCGCTCCTCGTTTTCAGGCCAAGGATCTTGCGGCTGGCCGCCGAAGATCATATGGATCCCTGCCGGATACGGCCATGGGTCAAAATCCAAATCGGTTAGCCCCCAGTGAACATCCGATTCAATCCAACCACTAAAATAGGTTCTAAAATGGGTGGTGCACCTACCCCAAAATGGAACCATTGGTTTTGACACACAGCCATAATAAATACAAAACGGCTGTGGGTCGAAAATAGGGTAACCCCAAAATGGCTTGCCCTGGCAAATGGAACCAAGGACTTAAACCTGCGGTGCCTTACTGGTTTAATTTTGACCCATACCCGTACAAACAACCTTTTCTTTGTTGGGTAACCCAGTGCTTCCAATTACCACTATAGTAGGCAAGTGGGAAAGCCTGGAAGTAGAACCTACCAGTAGATGTAGGAGTACCAGAAAAACCTACTATAGTGGTGACTGGAAGCATTGGGCAAGCTTGTCCAGCATGTCTTGCTGTTAGCTGATCACTACAGCCCTTGGCTCATGGAAACACCCTCCTTGCATAAATGCTGGTAGAATACTCACATTGCTCGCAATGTTGTGGCAAACATGCTTGACTCTCAGGCACAAAGAATGTGACTTGAAAAGACGTCTTTCAATGCGCTGTCTGGATTTCCGGTCATATCAAGCTAGTTTCATGTTGCCCGCGCATGTTGGAGTTGTTGGGTCGCTATGGGCAAGACCATCTGGATTCCCGTCCCCCCTCAGGCCTTGAAAAACAAAGCGCTCGTCGCATCCCTTCACCTCGGCCGTTCAGCTTCTGTTGACTTGATTTCTATTCCGACACTCCTGCGAGGTCGCACCGATCTGTCAGGCTGCACACGCACCCATTACACGATCCCGCAAATGCTTCGTGGATTCCAACACCTGAAATAAGGGATCCAACCAAAGGACCCAAATACATCACAATGAGCTTGTCTTACCCCCAAGTGAGCTCGCCTTAAACAAGGCAAAGGGATTTACGGCATACAAGGAGCACACGGGCCGAGGCCACGTGTTGCAGAAAAGGAGAAAGCTGATGGTGTGTCTGAAAACGGGGTTGCCCAAAAAATAGCACAACCTCCAAAATGGTTGGCCTCCCTTACCAACCCAAAAAATGGTCCCCAAAATCCGTGCAAATGAGGCGCCGCCAGCACACCTTTGGTGCGGAAGATGTCTGTCCCGCGCTCCGTGAGGAGCTTGGCGATCCAAGCGTTCAGCTTCTCCCTGTCGCACTCCCCAGGGCACTCGATGCCCACCTCGAGTTGTTTGACTGCCGCCACATCTGGGCGTCTTTTTTGGAGTTGGTACGCCCCTCTTTGTTTTGTGTTTTTTTGTTTGTTTTCTCTAAGGGGGAACCAAAAGGAAAACCACCATTTTGGATTTGAAAAACAACACACACACACACACACACACACACACATGGGTAGGCCTCCAAATAGAACCCGGAAATGGGTGTTGGCTCTTTCAAACAGCCCCTTTCGGTTTGGGAAGCTATGATTCCCTCCCTTTCCAAACCGACACGCCTGTGAGCGGCCGAGCGACCGAGCTCACCGTCTGGTCGTGCTGGTGGTCCTGGTGGAACAGAAATGCTTCATCTGGGTGTCCCAAAAAAACCAGCCAAGCATGAGCTCCCTGGGGGGAAAAAACAAGCAAACAAACAGAGATAAGCCAAGCATGAGCTCCACGAAACAAACAGCGAGATAGAAACCAAAAAGGCGAGTGGGAACCAGCCCCTCACGTCCAAGCGCAACTGGAGCTCCTGGTCGTCCCTCAGAAACTCCGCGTCGCTGTCGAGAACTCGGTCCAGCGAGAAGCCCCGGATGCCGATGATCTCCTCCACCTTCACCTTCGACTTCCTGAGGTTGGGGAATTTTCTATCTGTTCATTCCGACCATTCTTTTCAACCATCCTTCTTTTCAAAAGCCGATCGCTGCTTCCCCCTGGGGTTCTGATGGCTTCCTGGAAAGGATCCCGGATCCCTGGAAAGAATGGAAATGGAAGTGTCCGCTCGAAATTTACCTGGTTTGTGGGTGCAAAAGACAGGCTAGGGGTCAACAAAAACAGGGTCCCCTTTAAGAGGGGACCCGGCTTTTTCAGCCACAAACCTGTTTCCGACCTCCGGGGTGCCCCCAATTTTAGATGCCTGGGAGCTTCTCAAAAATAGTTGGACACCTGAAGATGTGGGTTTTCCTTTTGGACTCCAACTTTTCGCCAGCAAGAAGCGGAGGTTTCGAATTGAGAACCCCCCGAAAAATTTAGGTGAGCTTGCTGAACACAATGCACGCAATTCATAGGATGACCTCGCTGCGAAACATATGCCTGGCAATTTACCCTTTGGTGGACATCATTTGGGTGGGGATTCATGTCCACCAACCACTTTTCGGGCTCTTCTATTCAAATTGTAGTAAGATGGCTTCTCAAACGATGAACCCCTTTGTGGATGGTTTTGAAGGGAAACCACTAAAGAACAACATTTTTCAAAAGGCTCCTATTTATGAGCAACTCCCATGATCCTGGAAAATCGTTGTACCTATGGCTGCATTTCGTGGCATGGGAGTTTCTCCAATTTGGTCCATGTCTCCGAAACTTCCAGACCCAACTGCCAAGTCCGCAAGGAGTTGTTGCAACATGATTCCGGGCAAAGCAAATAAGAGGTCACCGGCCGAAAATAATTGAAATGGAGCTGCAAGCAAGGAACCTTCACATGTTTCGATGTCGCTCGGTCAGATTCTGCAGTCACAAATCTTAGCCCCTTGCACAGGGGGAACCCTTTTTTCTCACCGGGAAAAAAGGAAGGGTTAAAAAAACAAGTTCGGAGGGTGAAAAAAAAGGGAGCCCCTTGCACAGTTCTGGCAGTCACTCTCATCTTTACCCATCCTCTGAGAGAAACCGTCCCCACGAATTGCAGCCAGGAGCGCTGGGTGTAGATCATCGGCGCCAGGCGGTTGATGCTTCGCACCTCCTTCGTCAACTCTTCAATCTCCGACTCGGAGACCTGGAAGGCCCACGGCCGCAAAAGCCCCCAGCACTTCTGACCCCTTGCCAGGTTGGGGCTCTTTGCCCCCGAATTGCGGGCACTTCAAGCAGGACAACACATTGCAAGCAAAGAAAAAAGGGGCGACTCCGCCCGCTTTCGCCCCCGACCTGCCCGGAAAGTTACACCCCCCCAACCATCAACCCGCAAAAAACACGAGCATCTGCAAACCCCACCTCCTGCTTCCGCTTCGCGGATTTCGTGGCGTCCCCGTCCACCCGCGGATTTCCCGTCGCCCCGGCCGCCATCCCGTCGCTCCCGTCGCCCATCCCCCGCCAGGTCGGTCTTGTTCACGATGATGCGGTCCGCAAAGGCCAGCTGCTCCACCGCCTCGTTCTCCACGCCCTCCGGCTTCTCCTGCGCCCAAGCAAACCCGAGGCGGGCGAAGCGGGCGATGCGTGCGTGCGGTGTTTGCTTTGGCCCTCTGCTGTTGATGCTTTTTTGGCTGGTATCCTCTAGGTGTTGACTTTATCGGCTGGTATCCTGAAAAGTGGATGATTCTTGGGCTGATATCCTTAGGTTGAAGGGTCTAGGCAAGGAGTTGCTAGGTGGAAACCAGGAAGCTTGGAAAAAGGGCAGAATTCAAGAGAAGCCGCGACCCAAAACTAGCAGCATGTTGTTTGAGACACTCAAACTGGCCAGGTGAATTTCTCATGGCCAAAGTCCAAAGTCGCCAAAGAACTAAAACACCAGCAGACTTTGACCTAAGAGAACCCCAAATACCGCCCGTCATCGAAGCGCAACCACCGAAAGGCGATGCTGTGTTTTTTGGACCGGGAAGCCGTTGGGATTTGTGTCCACCACTCAGGTTCCAAGCAATCTGCGCTTTATTGGGTTTTCCCGGGCCCCGAAAACCCAGTGATTTTCCCAACAGCTCTCCTAACGTCAGCTTCCCCGCAATTCGTGCTTTGGATTGGCGGTTTCGAGGTGTACCAATTCAAGCCGCCAATTGTCAGCTTCCCTCCAATTGGTTGTTTGGATTGGTGGTTTGGAGGTTTGGGATGGTTCCCCATTTGCCCACAGGCAAATGAGGGATTCAAATCCCACCACCAATCCAAACCACCAACTAAGTATTTCCTGAAACCATGGGGTGAAGCTCATTAAAGTCTGAGGCTGGTAGGACCAGCCACCCACAACCTTACGCATGTCTCACTCCTTGAGTTCATGGACTTGTCACTCCTTTTCGGGAAGACCATTTCAGCGGCAAACAACCAGTTTGGACTTTCTTTGGCTCATCCACTCGCAAAAAGTGAGTATCCCACAAAATGGAACTTGCTTGTTGGTCTCCCTTCAAAACCACCAAAAGATGTACCAACTCCAAAAAACAAACACCCAACAAATTTCCCAGTGTTGCTCTTCTTTTTGCAGCCGGAATGGTCATGGGAGCTTTAGCTATGCCCTGCGACATGTTGGATCTTTAACCTGTCACTTTCTGGGACGCGTATTTTCTGCGACCAATTAAAGAAAGGAAATCCCGAAATCCATGTTGTGGGTCCTTAAAAGAAGACCCACCCAATCGGGAAGACCAACTGCAGCCAATTTCCCAAGCCACGCCTCCCGCAGATGCTGCAGGCAGTGCTTCGCGTCCACCACCGTGATGATGCCGTCCTCGAGACGGACCCGGTCGACGGTCGCTACCCCGCGATGTGTCGCCAAGGGGAAGTGGCTGTGGGCCAAAAATAGCCACTGAAAGGTAAATGGAACCAAAATGGAAACCATGGTTTAGGTGGACACCGAGTTTGGGCGAGTAACCACGCCCGGTATCCAAATGGTCTACCCGGAAAAAAGTCGGCCGGAGCTATACGGGTCCCTCCACAAACCCGTTGTGATGGTGACCCAGGGCAAAACAGATGGCCTGTTGGACAAAAAAGATGTTCCCTGGTAGATGGAAGAACCCCCCATCTATTATCAATCAAACTAGCCCAAAAAGGACACCTAGGATCCAGATGGTTGGGTTTTGTCATAGAACTTTTCCAAATACCCCCCAGACACACCATCACCCCAAACACACCTCCAAAAATACAGTAAAGATATAGTTCAGTCTTTCTGAACGGGTGTTTCTTTTTTGGGTGTGTGTGTGTGTGTGTTTGGGGGGCTCCCTTCAAGGGTTCCTCTCTCTTTTGGACATACCTACGGCATGATTTTTGCATCCCGACTCTTAGAGCCCAACGGCCCTCAGCGGCAATGGGTCAAAAAACCAATGGCGATCCCATTTTCGGGCGGATGAAGACCCATGTACCACCAATTTTGAGGTTCACCAGGGGTTTCCTAGTTTTTGACCACCACAGCCACATGAGTGGGAGGAAAAGGATTAGTGGAGTGCTCTTGATAAGAGCTAGATGAAAAGCTGGAGACAAAGACAAACCCTTTCTCCGAATGGCGAATTGGGAAATTGTTGAAGTGTCCTGGAAACAACAATAACTGCCTTCACAACCGGAAACTCAGAGGCAACCAAGCGTTTTAGGGGTTTCCAATGGATATGCGCAGCTGACAAATGACTGTAGTCTACTGCTGGCTTCCTCCCCCTTTTGTTTTAACAGGGATCCAAACCCGAAGATGGCTGAGAGGCAACCCTTACGTCGTGCCTCGGATTGGAGTTGAATCCCTGGATCTTGTAAGCCCTCCTTCAGAGCACCGGACTTCAAAGTAACAATTGCGGGGAAGCACCAATTGGAACCTTATAGGGGTCATTCCATTTCCACCAGCCAAAACAAAACTTCCATTTGCTTAAGCCCCCCGGAAAAAATGAGTCATATTTTCCAGTAGTGCTAGGTTCTCTTCAAAACCACGAGGAAAAATAAAAACAAAAAACAAACTTCAGCAAATGGAAGCAACTGGTGCCTTGGATCTTGGGAGCTTGCGCCAGAGCGCCGGCGATCGCGCGCTCGCGCGCTCGCGGCTCGCTCGGCCGGGGCCCCCGCCAGGGTCATCTTCGCCTGGATCAGGTCGTCGGCGAAGAAGGTCTGCGCCACCGGAGCGGGGTCCGCGAGGCCGGTGGTCTCGATGATCACCCCATCCAGCTTCGTGCCCTGGAAAAAGGGGGGGGGGAGGGACGGAACTACTGGGGGAGGGAAGGGGAGGGGAGGGAAGGGGGGGGAGAGGCGGGGGAGGGGTGACATGGGTGGCGGCTTCCAGATTAGCACCAGTGCTGAAAATCTGGAAGGAAGCACTGGGTTTGGGGGGGCGGGGGGGGGAGGTTTTGTGCTTCCTTCCGGCGTTTCACTACTATAGTACGTAATTCTTTGGGTTTTACCATGGAAGGGAGGATGGTTCTCAAAGTGGTCCCCGAAAATCTGATAGCCAATCTGGGGGAGTGATTTGGCTTGGTTTCTCAAAATGTTTGGCTTCTAAAATATGGGTTTCCTTGGACTTACCTTCGAACAAATACCAGCCAAAATGGGTCCACCACTGGAACACGTCTGCTTCTCGTTGGAAAACCTATCTGACGAACGACATTTTGAAGTTGGTACCCTTTGTGGGGTTGTCACAAACCCAGTGCTTCCAGTTACTACTATGGGTGAAAGGGTTACATGATGGTTTCCCCTGGTTACCTATTAGAGGGGATTCCCTCCTGGTTGCAAAGGGACACCTAGTAGGACACCACTGCAACAAGAGAAACCACGACCCTCCGGCACAAGGACACCAGGGATTGATTTTGAACCCAGAAAATACAATGGCAAGTGCAAAATCAGGAAATTACCCCCCATGGGTTTATGTCTTGCTGGCTTCCCTGAACAAAACAACCAGTCAAAAGGGGGCTTAACTTAGCTGCCCTCAGACCCCCCGCAAAAAAAGCTGAACACTCTTAGCGGCTTCAAATTCGGAAACTAGCCCTCAACCTCATCTGCCCTCAGATCCCCCGCCAAAAAGTTGAAAACTTGTGGTTTCAATTCGGAAACCAGCTGAGAGGATCTAAAAAGCTAAGGAACCGGAGGGAAGGGGAGCCAAGTGAAGCGAAGCTTCCGGGCTCGCTACGCCGCGAGCCTCCAGGGAGGTCTTCTTCAAGATGCTGCGGAGGCCCTGGATCAAGTCCCCTCTGACCTCGATCGCATGGCCCGGGTCCACTTTTGGAGCTGGGAAAGCCAGCAGGGAGGTGGTCCCTCCGTTTTCGAGATGGGTATGGGTCAAAATTACACCACCAGAAAAAACCGCAGGTTGCAGTCCTTCTTTCCATGTACCAGGGTTCCGTTTGGGGTACCTATTTTTGACCCACAGCCAGATTGCTTTCAAGGAAAACCAGAGGTTTTTGGGATGCCAATCCATGCAGCGGCCCTCCACCCACCCTGCTCCCACAGACTGCTCAACCGTTGCTTGCCCGATGCGGGGAGAACAAAAACAAACAACAGGTAGAAAGGCATGGAGCAATGCTTGAAGCAAGCTGGCAATGTTGCAAAAGCAGAGACCCAAGCAGTCTGGCTTGAAGCTTTGCAATCTAAGCCTAAGCGCCCCACGCTCAGGCGGGTCTTTGCCATCAACCCCAAATGGTTTGATCACAGGGTGTTTGTGTGTGTGTGTCAATATAGGAGAACCAACAAAAAGGCGGTACCTTTGACAGGTGGCAGTGCAGCAAATGCAGCCGTTGTTCATCTCGATGATCTGTTCCGCACCCAAGTCCTCCCCGTGAAACGTAATCTTGACCCCGAATGCATAACGTTCCCATCCAAAAGTAATACAAGACTGGCACCAAATCCCCCGATGGCACACACACTTTCCCGGTGCTTCCAGGCTCTTCTGGTGCATTGTTGCTTTTTCTTATCAATACAAGGCACTACAGCAGGTCGCCAGGGGTTGCCCTATCCATGGTAGAACCTAGAGGTAAGGATATCGAAGGGTTGCCTACTATAGTGGTGACACGCCAGAAGGAAGCACTGGGCTCAATTCAGGGCATTCCTGCCCTCATTCCTTTGTCATGATCAAAGTCGCCCCGTAAGTGGTGGCTTAATCACAACCAACCCCAGTTTCTGACTTGGATAATTCCTAGAAACGGTGAAACTGATGACCCCAGGATCTTTTTCTCCACCACTTGCCACCCCGCTCACCTTTTCCCCCGTCCTCCCTGCGAGCGATGAGCTTGTCATCGATGCCGATCTCCCCGAACTCGTTCTCGATGACGGCGAAGCGCCTGCCGCTGGTCTCCTCGGTTTCAAGGAGAACCGTCTTGACAGGTTCTCTGTGAACAAACCTCGTGACTTCTCATAGCGACAGAAGTCCCGCTTTGCAAAAAACAAGAAGAGCAAGCCACACACACACACACATGGCCCACGTGGCCCGCAAAATCGGGGGGGGGGGGGGCATGGAAGCGGTGGCGGTTTCGCCGCTTAGCGGCCTGGAGGATGTGATTCAGCAGCGTCGTCTTGCCGGAGCCCAGGAATCCCGTGAGGATGTGGGCAGGCACCTCTTACGGACCCCTTGGGGCTGGAGACGCGCCATTCGGCGAAAAGGGCAGGGCCCCCCGAACATGACTGGCTTCCTTTTGGTTCCCGAGAAGATTTCGCCATAAGGGCACCCTGAAAAAAACAGAGGAGGCATCTTTATTGTCCTGTCCCTGTGGAGTTCTCAAAACTACCTTGGACGGTTCCCTTGAACCATTTTTTTGAAGGGCAACTTCGATGTGTCACTTTGATGGATCCAGTTGTACAAAATACAAATGTAAATGCGTGCTGGTGCTGACTTTGGCCCATTGAAGCCAAGCAGAGGTGTGTGTGTGTGTGTGTGGTTTTTTTGTTCTTTGATTTTATATATATATATATATATATATATATATTAATGTACGTATGGTGTGTTTGTGTGTGTTTGTTTGTTTGTTTGTTTGTTTGTTTGTTTGTTTGTTTGGTTGGTTGGTTGGTTGGTTGGTTGGTTGGTTGGTTGGTTGGTTGGTTGGTTGGTTGGTTGGTTTGTTCGTTGTTTGTTTGTTTGTTGTGTTTACTTCGTTGGTTTGTTTCCTTCCTTGCTTTCTGTCATTCAGTCTGTCTTTCTTTCCTATCTATTGTCCTTTCTTCCGTCCTTCCTTTCCCTCCTTCCTTTCTTTCCTTCCTTTCTTTCCTTCCTGTCTTTCCTTCCTTTCTTTCGTTCTTTCTGTTTGTCTTTATTTATTTCGTTCTTTCTTTCTTGCTTTATTAGTTTGTTTGTTTCTCTTTTTCCTTCGTTTCTTTCTGTCTTTCTGTGTGATGTTCTTCCTTCCTTACTTGCTGCCTTCCTTCCTTTCTTGATTTTGCTAGTGTGTCCTTTATTTATTTATTTCTTTCGTCACTTCTTTCTTTATTTCTTGCTTTCTTTCCCTATGTTGTTAGTTTCTTCCTTATTTCCTTGTTTCTTGTCTTCTGTCCTTCCTTCCTTCCTTCCTTCCTTCCTTCCTTCCTTCCTTCCTTCCTTCCTTCCTTCCTTCCTTCCTTCCTTCCTTTCTTCTCTTTCTTCTCGTTCTTCTCTTTCTTCTCTTTCTTCTCTTTCTTTCTTTCTTTCTTTCTTTCTTTCTTTCTTCTTTCATTCATTTATTTTTGTTATTTATTTATTTCTTCATTTGTATTTTCTTTCTTTATCTGTCTCTCTCTCTCTCTCTGTCTCTTGATGTTTTGTTTATTTGTTTATTTGTATTTATTTATTTCTTTATGTATTTATGTCCTTTTTCTTTCTGTGTTTCTGTATTTATGAATTTCGCTATTTCTTTCTTTCTTTCACTCCTTCTTTCACTCTTTCTTTTTCTTTCACTTGTTTATGTACTTTCTTTACTTACTTATGTATTGCATGGTTTTCTTCATTGCTATGTGTTTCTTGACGTATTTACTTCTTTCTTTCTTTTCTTCCTTCCTTCCTTCCTTCCTTCCTTCCTTCCTTCCTTCTTTCCTTCTTTCCTTCTTTCCTTCTTTCCTTCTTTCCTTCTTTCCTTCTTTCCTTCCTTCCTGGCTTCCTTCCTTCCTTCCTTCCTTCCTTCCTTCCTTCCTTCCTTCCTTCCTCTTTTTCTTTGTTGCTTTGTGTCTTTCTTTCTTTATTTATTTCTGTATTTCTTTCTTTTCTTTCTTTCTTTACTTATTTATCTCTCTCTTCTATCTTGCTTTCTTTCTCTCTTTCTTTCAATTTTCTTTCTTTCTTTCCTTGTCAGGCCAATAGGCAAGCCACCTCCTTTCTTTTGGAGCCCAGTTCAACGCCTACCCAACTGCGAAACACTGCGGGCGCTCGCCCGCCGCGCCGCCTTGCCCTGCGCTGCCGTCGCCGCCTCCTCTGCAATGCCCTCCTCCTCACAAAGGTCCGGGGGTTGCCCCAAGCCACGAAAAGCCAGGCTCCGGCTGTTTGTTTTGCAAAAACCGAAGAGTTGTTGCTTCTCTTTCGGTGTTGGGTGTTTGCTCTCAAAACCAACTCAACCAACTCGAAACCTCAAAACCTCAAAACCCTCAGTCAGATCCATTGCCTCCCCTTGGGCAATAGATGTACAGCCAGCTCGCGGCTCTTGGCTCGCCGACTCTGGGCACATCTGTCGCTGGCGCTCCTGGTATCGCTCCAGCTTCCGGCACTCTGCCTGCAGCTCCTGGATTCGTGGCACCTTGGCCGTCGGGCGCCGAGAAGAAATGGAGGCGAGTCACGGGGTGATCGAAAGGTCCGATGAACATGGGATGACCAGTGGTTGGGAAACCACCAAACATCTTTGATACTTCCACACATGGGAAAAGTTGCCCATCGTCAAAACTGGGAACCGAAAGGGAGTATTGATCAACCTGCACATGCTGCTGCTGCTTCTTTGTGAGAGCCACAGTCACCTGGTCAGTTCCATTCATGTTTCTCAGCCTGAAGAAGTACTTTGGTGGACAGGCTCTTCGGGGATCAGCCGGGAAGTATTGGATCCCTATCAATCGCAGTCTTGGCGGACGGGCGACTTGACGGCTATAACATAGATTTGTAATGTTTGATGTAGTTTATGAATAATACGAATAATAATAATAGGAATAGTAATAATAGTAATAATAACAATAACAATAATAATAATAATAATAACAATAATAATAACAATAATAATACTAATAATACTAATAATAATAATGATAACAATAATAATAACAATAATAATGCTAATAATACTAATACTAATAATAATAATAATAATAATAATAATAATAATACATATACAGTATATACAGTATATACACATATACATGTTATGTAAAAATAGAGGGGAGCATTCTGCGGCGATATGAAAGAGGCGTGGAGTATGGTATGTAGTCTTGGTTGACGTTGTAATCTTAGCAGTTAAGTGGTTGGAATTCAACCACTAAACCACAATAAACAAAAATATAAAATGTGGGGATTTCAACCACTAAACCACAATAAGCAAAATGGAAAATGTACCACTAAACCACAATAAGCAAAATGGAAAATGTGCGGATTTCCCACTAAACCACAATAAGCAAAACGTAACAAAGTTGGGAATTCAACAACTAAACCACAATAAGCGAGAATGTAACAAAGTTGGGATTTCAACCACCAAACCACAATAAGCAGAAATGTAAAAAATGTTTCCCAACAGCAACCATGACACTCGAAACTCGATGTTTTGAGAACCTCCAATAAGGGAAACCAAAGAACACCTCCACCAATGTCTGGCTCGATGTTTTGAGCCTCTCGCCTAGCAACCCTGTTCTCTATTGGCGTGGTGCGGCAGAAGTGACGCAGCCCTCCCACAGAACACCCATCTCTCAGCAATGTTTCTTTTAAGTGGTTGGATTTCAACCACTAAACACACTAAGCAAAATGGAAAAAATGTTTCCCAACAACAACCATGCTTCCATTTGGTTAAGACCCCTGGAAAAAAAAGAAATCGCATATTTCCAGCAGTGATAGGTTCCATTTACAACCAACAGGGGCAAAAAAAAAAAACATCTCAAGCAACTGGACGCGTCCGTAGGCGGTACTTGGTCACGTCCTTTCGACTCGACTCGGCTTCCGTGCCTCGGGCGCCAGCAGAGCCGCTGCCGCCAGCTCCTCAGCTCCCGACATCGATGGAGCTTCGGGAAGCCCGCGGTGGCGCAAAAGACTGCGACAGTGGTTGGTTTCCCTTTAAAACCAACAAAAACCAACAACTATACACAAAAAAAAATACCAACTCGAAAAAGGAGCCAGACCCATTTTTCTAGGAGTATCTTCCCCATTCTTTTCAGCCATCCTTCTTTTCAAACTCCAGATCCATTTCCCCAGGGTGGTTTTCTAGAAAGATTCGGATCCCTGGAAAGAATGGAAGTTACTCCCTAGACCAGGGCTTGCAAAAAAAAAGCAAACCACCGAAGGGACCAAAATGCGATCCGCGCGATCCTTACCTCTGGGTGGTTCACTGGGGGGGGTTCGGAGCCCCCGTTCTTTGCGTTTGGGGTATGAAACCTGAGCCAGTTAAACGCGGGGTATTTTGATAAACACGGGAATGAGTCTGAGTCGGAGAGTATTGGGGGTTGATCCAAACATTCCCTTTCGGTTGACCATGGCCAGCTCAATCTAGCGCTTCAAATGGGCTGGACTCCAGTTGCCCTAGTAGGCAACCAGCTAGCTTCCTTTTGGATTTTATATCGGGGTGGCTCTATTGGTTACATCTATGTCATGGGCCTTGATCCAAACACCGGACGGCGAGTCCCGAGGCGCGCCGGAGGCGCGCTTCAGGCCCCCGAGGTTCATCAAGATGTCCGCGCGCGTGGCCCAGAGCTCCGCCACGTGCGGCGCGTGCTCCCCCAGAGAGCCCTGCAGCTCCTGAGAGCCAAACACGTCTCGCGCGTCTGGCCAAAACATCTGTCAGGGGAAATTGGCGAAAAAAGAGTTGCGCAGAAGCCCCAAGAAGACGAGCCAAAGGATCCACTTTGCCCAAAAACACAAAAAACAAAAACAACTCCTTCCGCGCGATTTTGGGGAGCCGTGGGCCCGCCTCTGCGAAGGTCTGAGGCTCTGTGAGCAGCAGCGCAGGCCGGTGCTTGGCCTCCGGGATCTGCTGCTCCAAGGCCTGCGCTTCGGATGGATTGACTGATGGGCTGATGGATCCACTGATCAAAAATGGTTGAGTGATTCATTGATCTGGGTGAATTATAATATTTCACCAGCCTGAAATAAGGCGGTTGGGGGGCTATTCTCCACATAAACCACCATTTGGGGTGAGGTCGTGTGAGGTCGTTATAATTCACCCAGATTAATTGGTTTATTGACTGATTGCTTGATTGACTGGTTGATTGATTGACTGATTGGCTGATTGATTGCTTGCTTGGTGGTTCGGGCTATGCCCGACTAGGAGTTTATGTGATTTCCCATTTTGCTGTAGTGGGTCAAAAGTATGGTAACCCCAAAATGGAATCCTGGCAAATGGAGACATGGACCAAAACCTGCGGTTTTCCTGGTGGCTTAATTTTGACCCATCATCCGTATGAAGGTGACGACACCTGCCTCATTCATTTGGGGGAAACGGATTGCGGCCGAAAGGAACCGGAAAAGAAAAAGAAAAAAAAAAGCCCTGTACCGCCCCCCCCAACTCCCAACAACGGCTTTTCTATGTCCCAAATCCCACGGCAAGCCAAAAACTCAGACCCTGCTGGTGCGAAACGCGCGGCACTCGCCCGAACCTCGAGGGCGCAGTTGATGAGCTGCACCGCTTCGAAAAACCGCGACTCCTGAGCTTCGCTGTGCTACCGCGCGAAGGAACCCCCCAAACCACGGGGGGGTCCGCTTCCCTTCAAAACCCGAGCCAACAACAAACCAACAAAGAATACCGGGGGAAGAACAAAAACGATTTACCCAACCTTGTTCTCCTGGTCCCCTAAGCCGGCAGCACCCCCAACCCGACACCCGGCGCACCCCCGCGCCTTGCAGGCGCTCTGCGCCGCCCGGTGCTTCTCCCGCCACTCGCAAGTCCCGCAGGCCAGCGCCATGGGATCCGAACGGCCGAACGTCGGATCCCGCGCCGGATCTTTGCGGCTGCGGTTGGTTTCTGGCGGTTGCGCTTGGTGTCTGGCCTTTTGCCCACATAACCCAACTCAAAGGGCACTTTCGCCACTTGGGCCGTGGGCTCTTCCTGCACCCTTTGATTCTTGAGTGGGTGCTGCAAAAAACAAGCTGGCGGGCGGTTCGGATTGTGATTGAAAGAGCCGTGATGGTAAAGAGGTAAATGCTAAGGCTTCTTTTCCAAGCCAAAAACTGTGAACACCCATCTGACCTCGCTTGAAGCGCCGATGGTTTGTTTTGTTTTTTGCGTTCAATCCCAAACCACACGGTTTGACCGAAACCTTTTTGGGGCGTCTGGACGTGTTTTGGGTTGGGTGACTCTCATAATCTCTGGGCCAAAGGTTGAGCTGCAAGGGCCACGCGCATCTCGCAGATTTTGGGGCGGTCAAAGCTCCAGTTGCAGGGGTTGACCCGTGGATGGTGGCCAAATCCAGAAATCGCTCCACCTCAGAGAACCCAGGTCTAATTTTTCTATGCAACGTAGCATACCAACAAAAGCGTCATGGTTTATCAACCATGGATGTCGGGATTTCGCGACCATCCCCAGTGTTCGGGGGGGTCTCGGCTGAATCCCTTCGGCTCCCATGCTTATCGGAACCGATGAGCCTAACCGCCTGAGGGGCTTCTCAAAATAGGAAACAGACCCCTTTTTGGACGGTTTTAATGGGAAACCCACAGAAAACCACCTACCTGGATGGGGCCCAAATTTGGGAAAGACCCACATGGGTGGCTCGTCAATTGTTTTTAGGGATTTGGACCCCCCCTGAAATGGTGCAAAAAGACGTCTTCTCTTGGATGTCCATCAAAGATATACCCGCCAGTATCCCCGAACCACCAAAATGCCCACTGGCCAAAAAGTAGTGGTAAGCTTCTCGTACTGGCAAATGGAAGCCACGTGTTCTTTCCGGTTCCCTGGAGACGCACCCGGCGCCCGTTAAAACGCTTGGGCGCAGATCATTCTGGTGAGGATTGATGGCAAGCATTGGGAGCTGCGCGGTTTCAGGCCTAGATTTTGCAGGTAAGGCTTGTATACAGGTCAGAAACAGGGCCCCCCAGTCGGGACTGTAGGGGCCCCTGTTTTTGATCCCGACCTGTTTTTGGGACCCAGAAAGCAAAACCCCAGGTGGAGCTCAAAAAACCGGCGTGTGGTAAAAACCTGGTGCTCCTTCCCAGGGGCTTGTCACTAAGTCAGCTGGCGAACTGCGCCTCCTTGTCGAAGGCTAAGGGCTGCTCCTTCGGCCTGTCCTCCTGAAGAAACGGGCAGGTGGGTACCAGCTGGGCGTAGGCAACGGCTGATCAGACTGGGAGCCGACTCTGGATTCGGGAGTTGTCTTTGGGCAGGGGACACCCTGTAAAGCTGCGAAAGGAAGATAGAGACAGAGAGAGAGGGGTGTTTGGGGGGGCGGGGGGGGCGGGGGGGGGGGGGGGGGACCGTTTTTTCGTGTTTTTCTGGGGTCTCTGTGTCTCTGTGTCTCTGCGTCTCAGTGTCTCTGTGTCTCTGCGTCTCTGTGTCTCTGTGTCTCTGTGTCTCTGTGTGTCTGTGTCGCCGTGTCTCTGTGTCTCTGTGTCTCTGTGTCTCTTTCGTGGCTGAGATGCGGTCGGTTTGGCCGTGAGTTACGACCCTTGGGACGTCGACGTTAGGTGGACACCGAATTTGGGCGAGCAACAATGCGCGCTATTCAAGTGGTCTGCCCGGAAAAGAGAGCCGCAGCCATACCCCTCCACAAACCCGTTTTGATGGTGACTCAGGGCATGTCTGGTCCAAGCGCATTTTTAGGAGGGTCTCATTGAAAAACCACCAGCCGCCACATGAGGCCCGCGGAGTTCTCTCTTGAGGTCCACGAGCCTTCACTTCGTCCTCCTGAAGGGCATAGGAGGTCCACCACCTGCGCAAGTGCCAAAGCTCACTTGGGTGTGTCTTTTCTTCTAAATGTGTTGAACCCTCCAAAGGCTGAGATTTTCTGGCGTCCTTTCTACAACCGCAAAAAACATGGGGGCCCTCGAAAAAAAGAGACAAAGCCACTTCATGGCGTTGGTATCACGTGGGTTTCAGGAACAGCACCGTCTCGAGGCCTTGCATAGTAGTCGTTGAGATTGGCTTGCATCTGATGGTTCTCTGGCCTTGGCCGTGCACCCATGCGAGCAAATGTCTGGCACAAGCACGAGCTGGCCAACCAGGCGTGAAGGTACCAAAAATGGACCCCAGTAAATGGAAAACAACTGGGGTCGCCTTGTGGTTTAATTTTGACACACGCCCATATACAGCTTGGTGTTGGCTTGTGATGTTCAGTTTCTGTAGTCCTCCAGTCGCTCCTATCGACCGAGCGCGTGGCATTCCTGGAACTGCTGCAGCCTCAAACGCAAGCCGACGCACACCATCGCCACTCATTGCTTTGCTATCGTTTGATGTTCACTCCCAAGTAGGTAGGGAAACAACCAACCCAGGGTTCCATGCTTTGGTTTTGATAGACTTAAACCCAAGCATTGTTTTCTTCTGGGAAATCAACCCCTGAGTTTAAGTCTGCCTTGGGGTAACCCACGAACCCTGAACCAACCATTGCTGACTCCAACCAGAAACCATAGTAACCGTCAGGTCAGGCATCAGGATCCAGGGAAGCGTAGCTACCTCTCCCAGTCTACTGGGCCAAACATGCTCCGACAACCCGGTGCAGTCGCACTGACAGCCCCCCGATCTTGATTCAGGTCCCTTTACTTACCCAGAAAAAGCGATAACTCACTTCCTGAGTGCATTGGCCAAACAAAAGTCACCAAACTCCTTACCTACCACTAAGATGGTCTTAGCAAAAAGCCTCCGAAACGGAGCTCAGGGAGCGAGACACTTTGCCTCTGAGCCCGAAACCCCGGCCGCCAGCTGTGGCGGCAACACCCCAGGAGGTAGCTGCCCAGCCTCACGTCTAAGTCGGCTTCGGCTTTCCTGGTTTCAACAAGGAGATTGAGTCTCAACAAAACCAGGCCGGATCCCAAACTCGGATCCCAAATCCCTTTTTGATCTCCCGAGGGCTTCTCAGTCTCCAGGCCGAAGAAATGTGAAGGACATTGAGGTTCAGCATCCCTGTGATCCGCTCTGAGCCTTTTCGCCCCATGGCAGTCCGTGGCCGAAATGCAAAAACCTTTGCGTATCTTTGGAGGGGTTCAGGAAAACTCCCCGCAGGGTCTACCGACTCTGGTTCATAGCCCTGATCAACACTTGCTTGCCAACTAGGTCCATCTTGAGAAGACTTGCTGTTCCATAGACCGTCTGCGTGTCTTGCCCAGTGCTTCCAGTCACCACCTTAGCAGGTAACCAGGGATTACGGAAGGGCCCGTTCTTGCCTACCAGCGGTAGCCGGAAGCATTGAACTTGTCTTTCATTGGCTTGAAATCCACACGCCGCACATCCGGCATCTTGGGTTTGCAGTAAATCGCTGCAAAGGTTCATACTACACACACGAACTTGGTGTCGCATCCACAAACTGTTCCTTTTTAAACTAGAACCATAGCCTGCCAGCAAGTGTCTCTGTGTGAGCTCAAATAGCGGACCCTTTGGTGGACACCATTTTGAGTCCACCAAGCACTTTTGAGCTGGACCCCTTTTAAAACTCATGACCGTGTCGGTTGCTCAACTCCAACACTTTGCGTTCAGTCCACGGTCGCAGTAGATACGGGAGGGCCAACCACGCGCGTTCCTTTGATTCGGAACTCCTCCCTGGTATTGTCAAAGGTCCCCTCGAAACATCAGCCCACCAAAAGGAGATCAAAATGGAAACCTCAAGCACCAACCTCAAAATGAGAAGGTCATGTTTGAAATTCAGCTCCGCCCCCCAGGGGCCCTCGTTTGGAGTCCCCGCTAGCGGCCGCGCCATTGCTGCCAGCATTGCCGGGGACTCGGACGCGTGGGCTGTCTTGTGTCCGCCCATTGGCAAAAAAGTGTGACATGCGCATATGAGGTTTCAATAGGGAACGGTTGTGTCTTTTGTTATGCTCCCCCCCAACAAAAAAAAAGGCAAAGAGTTGGTTCTCTTGTTGGCTTCCCATTAAACACCACAAAAAGGCCAATAATGTCGAATAATAGTTGGTTCCCAGTCGAATTTCAACATTCACACCCTGGTCATGGTTCCCTGTATGACATCAAGCAAAAACTCGACGGCCCACATGTGCGGGCAAGATATGCGGATGACCTTGTATAGGTCTGGGTAAAGTGCTGGAAACTTAGAGTTGGTGTACCCACCAAGCTTCACAAAGTACCGGAAACTGCTTTCCGAGCCTCGAACTCGTTGCAACGAGTTCCTTGTGGCCGTGGAAAGAGCTACTTTGGTTGACCTAACTTGCGCACCTCTTTTTCCGACCCAAACATGGAACGCCAACTGGAAGACTGGAAGAGTAAGGGTTGAATTGGCGTACCCTTTGAGGGCACCCGCCCTTTTTCGAAACTGTTTTGAGGCCAGCCTTTCTTCTTGGACACAACAGGGATCCGGATGCATTATACACCTGAACATTGCCTTGTACATGGTGGTTTCCCTTTGTTTCGGTGTTGAAAAAGCCACGTTTCAACTGGTTGCAACATGTATCTTTTTAAGGAGCCCTGCACAAACTTCCGCAGGACCGCCTTTTCGGGACCAAAAAAAAAGCACGCGCCAAGCCCAGCGACCAGCTCCCTCGGCCACCGCGCGGCACCGGGCAGGGTGGCAGGCAGGGGGCCGGTGGGGACACCTCCTCGGCGCGAGGGCTTGCGCTTGCGCGCGCGCCTCGAAACTGAGACGTGGCGCCTGCAGCAACTCCCGGAGGAAGGGCTCCCTCGCCAATTTTGGGATGGACCGTCTTGCAGTCAGATCATCCTTTGGGATGTTCGGGCAGTTGAACTCGAAGCTGACTCACGGGAAATCCGCGACAAAACGACCTCACCCAGCAGTTCAAGAATGGATGATACAAACCTCCAAAAGGAACGGGGTATTGCGGAAACATGGGCTTGTCGGCTTTTTTGAGGACCCCCAAAATGGTGGCTTTCCTTTGAATAGCTCGATGGTCCGCATGCACCGATGCGAAGTGGGATCGCCCTTTCTTCTTTGTAAACCAACTAAAGCAATCAAAAAGCCACACCGGATTCAAACGGTGCCAAGGAACTGGGCTTATATGGGACGAGCCCCCAAGCTGGAAATGTCAAGATTTTCTTGAAGTTCTCCTTTTGGTTTCCCTTCCAAACCCCACAAAAAAAAGAAGAAGAAGAAGAAGAAAAAGGGGGAAAACAAAGGAGAAAAAAAAAGGAGAAGAGAACAAAAATAAGAAAAAAACGGACGGATGCGCCAACAATACGCGTTGCACGTCTCCTGGGCGCGGCCCAGTCGCAGCTTCCTCCGCGCCGAAATGTCACGTCTTCGGCGAGTTCCCTTCCCGGCCCCGGTGGAAGCAGTGGATCCATTGACCTGGTAAAAGGTAGGCAGCCAAGGGCTGGCCACCCGGAAAAAAAGAAACCAACAGGAAAATAGTAGGTTACCTACCTGGCTGCGCTCAGATCCCCCGCTAAAAGTTTAACTTTTAGTGGTTTAAATGGAAACCACTACTTAACACTAAAAGGCTAAGAAGCTAAGGAACCGGATGGCTGGGAGCCACCAAGCTACTATAGTGATAATGGGGATCCACTGGGTGTGGACTCACAAACACCACGGCTTCCGCAAACTCAATGGTCCGGAGTCGGTTCGCTTTGGGGGGACCAGCTTTGCTTGTGGACTCACTTGTCCCGCAACAACAGCTGTTCCCCTTCGATCCCCTGCAAGTTGAAAACTTGTAGTGGGCTAAATGGAGACTACCGCTAAACCAACTAAAAAGCAAAAAAAAAAAAGGAACCGGATCGCTGGGAACCACCAAGCCACCAAGCCTCAGAAATAAGAGGTCTAAACATTGTTTCGCCAGGGGAAACTCACCGGTGAGTTCGGTCGGCTCGCTTTGGGGCAAGTGGTAAACCACACCGTTTTCCCCAAAAAAGTGGTCCCAGTCGCGGAGGCGCCTCGTTGTCCTCCGCGGCTTTCAGGCCTTTGACCCCCGCCAGGGAGCCCAACCTCGGAACGCGTGAGCGCGCCAGGGAGCTCTCTGGTAAGTGACACCGTTTCGCCACAGGGAACCAGACAAAACCAGCAGGTGAAACCTAAAGCAACACTAGCTGGTTGCCTTGCCACTCTAGTGGCAGGTAACCAGGTAGTGCTACCTCTGGCTGCTACATGATGCTTGGAAACCCCTGGTTTCCTAGAATAGCGAAACGCCTGAAAGCACTGGGCACGGAATCCATGATTGGCTCTTGGGATTGGTGTATCAAATCAGCTTTCGCCCCTTCCCACGTGGCTGACGTGGATGTTGTCAGTATGGTTCTTCCCCCGCTGTGCTCCCCGAAACCTACTTCGACAGTGTCAGTCACAAATGGTGCAGGAGGTTTGATTTGGGCCAGCCAGGAGCTGGCAAAAGGGACTTGAGGATGTGAGCAATGGACAAAACAACTCAAATGTTCCACTTGCATCTGCACTGAAATCACTCCGTTTGGCCATGTCTCATTTTTTTCTGCCTGAAAAACATGGTGCTTCAAGGTGCCTGCCTTCTCATGCTGGTGCTCAGTAGGGAATAAGAAATGGAATGAACCCAGGAAACCCCTCAAAGGAAACCACCCAAGGAATGAGGGGGGCCCCCTCAAACCACCAGTTGGATGGCTTTTTCTTGGGGTCAGACTCCGTGCAACTCATTCCCTGCATCGAATCCACCGATCGCCAGTGGTTTCCCTTTAAACCCGATGGGGTCGACCCAAGGCCCCGGCGTGGCCAGCGACAGCGCGCCGTCCACCACGGCTTTCTGAGGCGAAGGAAAGCGGCGCGCACTGGAGGAACTCATGGACTTGTGGGGACTTGGGAGATTTCTGGTGGGACTTGGGAGATGTCTGGTGGTCACTGGTGGTACTTGGCTGACTTCGTGGGACTTGGGAGACTTCGAAGTTTTTCGCTACTTGGGGCTTTGGGAACCGAAATCTGGGTCCATTCAAGTGACATCTG